ACTTCTCTCTCTAGCTCTCACTTCTCTCTAAGGGTTAACAATCTATCATTTGGTTCTCTCATTGAGAGCTAGAACAATCAAGTTAGTCTCCTTCGTCGCTACCAGACGCAACTAACTAACATGGGAAGAACAAGGTCAAACCGTAACCTCATCAGCAAAGCGATCCATGAGACTCAGGAGGACCGAGAACGTTCCGGCGACGCTACGGCCAACGAAGATAGGGATAAAGAGGTCTTCCAGGAGACCATCAACCCCAAGGCTAACATTCGCAATCACCTCAACGTCAATGCTCAAGACGCCCACATTGGCCTTGAGAAGAAGCACATGGAGAACGGTGACCATGCATCGGGACAACAGACTACGCCTAATGTTGACCCCCAGCTCCAGGCCGCTCTATCGGCCATCATAGCCAGCTTTGCTCAGAACCCAACCGTCATCAGCGCACTCATGCCAAGGACGGGGGAGAACACTACTCCACCACCTCTCCCACCCTAGCCGTTGGTCATGAAGGTAGGCAACGATGAAGGGGTTGAACCGCAGGACACGCCTTCATCCCACTTCCACTCCGCCTCCCCTCCCCGTGGTGGACCGACCCCAGTGCGTGGAAAAGCCTCTACCTTCAACACGCTAGGCAACACATGTCATCGGCCAGCATCAGAGAGGATGGCAGGACGGCTTGGTGAACGTGAACCCGGTTCACCCAGAGAAAGCTTGAGGTCCGTATCCCAGACAATGGATCGGCCCCGACTTGACAAGGGGAAGGGAAAATTGCACGAGGAAGACGTGCGCCACCAGATCAACGCGGCCCATGGCACCCGCACCCAGAATCAACAGGGCGTTGGCACCACGGTCCCCAAAGACCCCGGGGACGAGGTCATCGCCCAGCTCGAAAGAAGGCTCGCTTAAATTTTGTCTATTATTCTTTGATTTATTCGACTGTTGAATCTGGGATTGTTCACATAGCAAGTCTAGACATTTGGGTGTTAGACATATTATGATTAGGGAATTAATCATGAATGGTGTGATTTCGGTGGAGTTTGTAAGATCGCAACATAACTTGGCAGACCAGTTGACCAAAAGCTTAGCCCGGGACTTAGTGACAAGTATGTGAAAAGGATGGGTTTAAAGTCCATTTAAATCCTTAATGGTGAGACACCCAATTCCCCTCTAATACAACGTTCGAGGCTGAATTCAATGCGAAAAGCTCACACTTATGGATTGGAACACACAATCAAAATCATCCCAAGGTGTGTGTTCGGACCTGTAGTAGGGAGGTTGAATTTATTTCTTAATAATTCCTTTGATAAAATGTAAGCAGGTATACAAATAAAGGAATTGCCTATATGATCGTGAAGTGTAGTCGTGCTTCAAAAGGCTTGGGACTTATCTTTTATATGGTCATGAATGGGATTAGGACACACGACTTTATAATTGTGTCAAGTTTGTATTCTAGTTGAGTATAAAAACTTGTATGTATTTTATCTTCAGGTATTCAAATGGGTTGACGGGTTCAATCCATAGGACAGCCCGATTCTCGAATATTTGGAATGTGTAAAATACTAAGATAAAAATTCAACCGTATCGACATTTTCATTATGTACAAGTTTTGGTTTGAAAACTTTTTTATGTCATTTCATGGGTTACACTAAAATTGGGGAGGATTGTTGGTGATTTTAGTGTCACCAGTCATTTTGTGTAATTGGAAATGACATGAGTGCCAATGGGGATTAAAACTATAATCTCATACAAGTTAGTAGGTGTGGAGTGCACACTTGTATATAAGATTGAGTTTTATTCCAAATTGTCTATGGCAGTGGAACTCAAGGTAGAACTCAAGGTATAACACTACGTAGACTAACTCTGTGGTTCTAGACCGAGGTCTAGAGTGATTGGGAAGTTTTGTGAAGTCTTCCAAAAACTGCCACAAATTTTCTCAAACATGTTGTTGTAACTGCTTGGATTGGTTAATATGGATATATATCACCATATTCCGTACAGAGAAGAGAGAGACAAGATATACAAGATATTTTTATCACTTTTGGCATTCAAATTAAAAAAACAATCCATATACTCACTAGTTTGTGTTCTAGATCTTGTGCATAAGTTTCTGAGTGTCCTTAAAGATTATCCTAGATTGAATTTCTTGTAACACAGGCATATGAGAGAAATATCAATTCGGAAAGTGAATTTACACGACCCTTGAGCAATCCAAGTACTCGATTATCACACTCTACACGAAGCCCAACAATTATAAATTACACAGAGACCCAGCATATACCAAATAGACCAGACCGGTTCAGACCAGAACAGACCAGACTAGCAAATTTAAATCCAAAAGAAAACATCCTAAGATGAATTTATAGTAGATGATTTGCTGGATATTTATTGTCTCACACAAATCTTTATTTGTCTATATTGAAACTTTTATTGTATATATTGAAATGTAGTCCTTACCATAGAAATTGTTGGCACATTTGGAAGGTCTATTCGAGCATAATTTGAGGTGATGAAAAAACAACCCCTACCCCTGAACAGTTGATTCAACAGATAAAAATCAACACTCGCCAATGGTCATACACTATGTCAAATCTAAAGGCTACTTCGATTGGTTCTGTTCTTTTTGAAGAAAAAATCATTCCAAATAATTTCAAGCTTCATCGCAATTGGTTCTTGCTTGTCAAATGGATTAAGCCAAAGATGGGTTTGAAATTGAATACAGATGCATCTTTCTTACCTCATCGGGCTGCAGGTGGTGCTGTTATGAGGAATACTCACGGGAAGATGTTGTTTGCCCTTCGATTTCCTCTTCTCGCTTCATCTCCTCTTGAGGCGGAAGTTAAATCCATAATGTTCGCGGCTGGCTGGGCAATTAAAGAAGGTTACAACAATTTTCAGGTGGAAACTGATGCGAAGTTAGCGATTTCATACCTGTTGGATCCAGATGGGCGAAAATGGCGGAAGGAGATTCAGGAAAGCATGTTGTTTACAGACAAGGCTTCGGTTTCCTTTGTTCACACATGGCGTGAGGGTAATTGGGTCGCTCATATGTTGGCTTCGGATGGAGCGGCCCAGTTGGAAAATTTTAGGAACATGCGTAGTCTCCCTATCAAGGCTAAACGGGCTCTAAATATGGACTTCTTTGGGCTTCCATCTATTAGATTTTTGATTTGATTTCTTTTGTACTTTTTTTGAGGTTTGGTCTTGTCCCCCTCATTGTGTAATCTCTGCTTGATTTAATAAATTTGGCAAATGTTCCCCGGTATTTGCCCCACTGATTTTGGTGGTTTACCTTCCGGGGTAAAAAAAAATTGAATTAACATTATTACATATTTTTAATGTTGACACGGTTAAAGTTAATTGTAAACACGGTAAAAAATTACACTTTTGTACACATTTCCAACATCTTTCGCACCAATTTATGTCTATAAGGTCAGACCATATAAGCCTTCCGGGGTAAAAAAAAAGACCATATACAAAAAATGTCGATTGTAAAATTCAAATTTTATAGAGAATAATAGTGTGACACAGACAAAAATAGGTAAAAAAAATTATTATATACTCCCTCCGTCTCAATTTACTTAATCAAACTTGACTTTTCAAGTCAACGACGTCTAACTTTGACCGATTATATGTTTATATAGAGAAGTATTGATAATATGAAAATGATATGAAAATGTTCTTTGTTAAAAACACTATCATAAAAGTATAAAATTATTAAATTTTGCATAAATATTATAGCTTAAATAATTGGTCAAAGTTAGAGGTTGTTGACTTGAAAAGTCAAGTTTGACTAAGTAAATTGGGACGGAGGTAGTACTTTTTATTCACAATCTCAACAAAAAATCGATAATTGTTCGTAGGTAAAACTAGGCCATGGATAAAAAAGAGATCTTTGTGTGGAGGTCATTCTCAACACGAAAATAGGAAAATATATCTTGGTAATACTTGTTTAATAAGTAGTATTGGCACAATAAACTTGATTCTCAAAATAAATAAATAAAAATTCATAAGGACAATAAATCAAAACTGCAATTCAGCATATGGTAAAATGAGATTACAAATGCATAGTATATTGAAAATAAAATACTTCAGACCTCCACTGGATTATTACGTAGTTTGTGTTGGAATATTAGAGGTAGAGGCTAAGTATTTTAGGACGTTATGAAGATAATTGTGTAAGTAGAAAAAGCTTTTAGCTAACTAGAAGAGAGGATGGAAGAAGAGAGAACTTGTATTTTATTGCTTGAAGATTTCTTAGCTTGATGCTTGATTACAAATGAGCACAACTACACATATTTTTACTACTTACATCCTCAATAAATGGTGGAGAGTTCTATAGAATTCTCCTTATCTAGAATACTCTATGATTAATTATTCTCTAGAATGTCTCTAGAAGTCTCACACTCTAGAAACTTTCTAGAACAGTTTGCCTCATCCTCTTCAGATCTCTACTCGATTGCGTAGTTTGCCTCATTCTCTTGATTGTCATTATTCGATCTCTATCATCTGGATCATTATAGCTTCAACCATTTTCATTTTTTTTTTTTTGCATCATTTGTCATATCTTCCATTCATCAGGCATCATTAATTAGAAATTGTATGGCAATGACTTTTACTTTCCATCTTATTTGACGACGGGTGGAAGTTGGTAGAAGCTAGCTAACCCAATATCACAAGGATGACCATCTCCCGGCCCCAAATCATGTTTTTATTGTTTCTTACCTGTAGCAAATGTCATATATACTACGTATTTAATTCAGATTCTTGATCTTCAACAAGCATCTCATCTAGCTAAAAAAATTGATGTTTGGATTTTTTTAGTTCACATGACTTGTACGTAATACAAACTCAGTTCACTCTTAATTTATCTGAAGAAGATATATTAAGTAAAAACAATTAAAGTAGATTAAAACAAAACATTTGATTGCTTGCTTCTCCTGATGTTTCCTTTCTTTCATGTAAGTGCAGAGTAATAGGTACATATAAGCTAAGCCAATATAAGAAACTATTTATGTCTCCTTGTGAAATTCACTTACATTATTATAATTTAAAAGCACGATTATATTGGTAAGTGTAGGCCAAAAATTAAAGGTTGTGATGTTTAATTTACAACACACTAGCTATTAATTAGCTAATACATACGTAGTAGTATATATAAGCTACAAAAACTAGCTAATATAATTGAGTAGGCACGTAGCTAGCGTAGTAAAGTATATGGGCGGCAAGCAATTCGATGAAGCAATGATTTGATGGATCGATGGCGCGCGTGTGCAGGTTCGTTAATGACACTGTTGGTTCCCAAACTTGGTTAACAAAAGGAGTTTAGTTACAAGACGGCGCAGCCTGTGGGCCCCTGGACCGGGAAGAAGTTTGGTGGGGTCGCCAACCTTGGAGCACGGAGGGTCCCCGGCACACCAACCTCCGGGGGTGTAGCCGGCGGCGTTGGTGGTGCGCCCAAGCAGCTCCTTGTCAATCTTATCCAGCAAAGGGTGGTCTTGGGGGCTGAACTTGCGCGCGAAGGGGGCCCCGCTGGCGATCATGTTGGCGGTGTCGTTGATGTTGAGGGTGCGGGGGTGTTGGCGCGGGGGGTTGTCCCATGAGATGAAGTGCATGTCGTGGTTGATGGCGGTGGCCACGAACTGCGGGGCGTTGCAGATCACCGTCTGGAAGTAACCTTCCGGGGACGACACGAAGTTGGTGTAGTACATCAGGAGTGTTCTTGGAAGGTTTTCCCACCCCCAGATGCAGTACTCCACGAATGCACGTGACTGCACCATCCAAGCCGAGCCTGTGAACAGTCTGAAGGATGTGGGTAAGCCTCTGTTTGGTTGCACCCAGAACAGCTCTGATTTCGTATTCTTGTACAGCCCTGGATCTATCATCAACGGCGTCCCCCTTCCTACCCTGCCGCCCATATATAATCAATCACAATTAACCTGCGTACGTGCCTAGCTAGCTTACTCATGCATGCATGCATGCATCTTTATATATATATATATATGTATATATACTGTAATTAATTACCAGCCCAGGCCACCTTAGCGGCTTAATTAGCTACCGTACCATTCATTAATCAAATCAAAACAAGATGAAAGATATATATATATATATATATATGCTGGCTAGCTTACTCTTTCCACCCTAGCTCACTTGTGTGCTCTATGAAGTTGTACTCTCTCTTTACATCCGAAAACACATCCAGCAGATCTGCATCATATATTGTCACCGCATCATCAAAAAATGACGACTTTTCGATCTAAGCATGCAAAAATAAATAAAAAGCTAGCTAGCTAACCATCTTGAGTGACAAGGGGATAATCTGAGGCACTGAGATTGATAAACCAATCCCAGTCCTTGAATCTCTTGAGAAGGACAGCACCGGCATGGAGGGTATTACTGACCATGGTGGGCCCTCTATAAGTTACCATGTTAGCTTTAGTGATCATATGCACGTTCCCAACCTCCACAAAAACGCCCTCCTTCTCCACTCTGGAGGCCAGCTCCAACCTCTCCTCCACCGACGATTCCAAGTCCAGATGGATGATATAGTAATTCCTGGGATGGTACAACGTATGCAACACCCTCCACAGCTTCTCCAGATCCCCCTTGGAAGCAGATATCAAGTACGCGAAACGCGGGATCCCCGCGCCCGAACCTCCTCTTGCTTGCTCCTTCCCATCATCCCGCGCCCTTGTTCCGCTGCTGCTGCCTGCAGCAGAGGACGTCGATACGCGGGACGGGAAGATTGAGAATATCGTGTTGGTTTTGTGGCCGTTTGAAGAAAGCATTCCCATGTTGAACAAGTTTATTACAACAATCAAACCAATGATTGAGCTGATGGCTAGCGGCAACACCCATTTCTTCTCCACATTCAGGCCGCTTCCCATCGGATCTGAGACCCTTATCATCATGCCTGGCTAGCTAGCTCGATCTTGATTGATGTATATAATTAATTACCTACCTCCAAACATATACATAAGCTAAGCAAGCAAGCCTTCATCCGGTCTTGATGAAATATTTAAGAGAGTACGTAATAATTAATATAATGGCAGCTAGCTACAAACCAAATAATTAAACCAATGAAACATTAATTAATTAATTAATTAATTAATTAAATAGCTTTTAATGTAAGCTAGGTAGCTAGAATGTTAGTTAGTTATATGTATGTGGAGATGAGATGGTATATATACATGTATGTATTGCCTACCGTAGAGAAGTTTTAGCAAGTTGAGTAGCCAATAGCATGCATGCATGAGTTTTCGATCATCACAACTTTTATTGTTACTATACGTTGTAAAATTATACGTAATATTATACGGAGTATATATAATCACCGCGGGAATGAAACCGCCCACTAACGATGTTTTTACTTCTACCGTGATTTGCTGGTCTGGTCTGGTCTAGTCTGATCTGGTCTCGTCTGGTCTGGTCTGAACTGGTCTGGTCTGGTCTGGTCTGGTTTCTTTGTATTTTTATAACTATCCAAGTCTGATCTGGTCTGGTCTGGTCTGGTCTGAACTGGTCTGGTCTGGTCTGAGACGAATTACAGTCCAAGTAAAAACATCCTAACATGCACATCGATCTGTTGTATCATTATATACTGTTAAAAAATATTGTAAACTTCTTCTCATTCTAAATTTTCAAAATATGAATTTTTAAACTTTTTTAGTAATGGGGAATGAAAGATATTAATGGTCAAACTTGTGCGTTGAGAAACGTGAAATGTTGAGTGATTCTATTAAAAGGGAACGGAGGAAGTATATACATAGTACTTCGTAGTAGTATTGAATTTAATACGTACGTACGCTCCATTTAATTTCTCGCATGCTCTCTCCGTTCACTACTACAAGAATAACATACCACGTCACACATTTGACGTCGGTTTTTAAAGAACCGTCCTAATGAAGAGGCAAGACCTTTTTAACAACGGTTTTGGGTAAAACTGATGTGGTACATTTTAGAAAAAGGCTGAACGGTATTTTTTTGCATACCTATAACGTCAGTTTCTTTAGTACTGACATGCAAAACGCATTTGATAATTTCTAAAGGGTTCAGTTAAAATTATTAATTCGTACCTGCCAGGCCGGCCGGCCTCATCTAAAACTATATCGCTATATAATTGAAATTACATACGAAGAACTCCTTTCAAAGAATCGATAACATTCGACGCCTTGCCTCTTCTCTCCGCACGCGACTTCTTCATCTACCTCTGTCTTCGCTCATCAGATGAAACTCGATCGATGCTCTGCGAGAACTGGTAAGTCTTTCTATTCTCAATTTATCCATCAGATTTCTTCCAGCTGGCCTTCTCGATTACAGGACGACGACATATGAGGCGAAAGTCTCCCGTAAAGTCCCGACGAGCGGTCCACAGAGCTGCATCCCTACTTACCGAATCGGCCTTAAGCTGGCGGGCTGCAATTTTTGCGTCTTGGAAGGCTGCAACCCTACTGGCTACTCACCTGGTCGATCTACATCCGCCAAATGAGTTGAACGATCGGTGTATAGGTTTCCGTAATCAAGATGATCTCTATACTTTTAGTCACTCGCCCTCTACAATTTCTTCTGTCTCGAGTATTTTTTCTCTCCCTATTCTTATTTAATTGAATTTCAGGAATAATGCTTATTATGGGCTCTAAACTTTTTCCCCCAACTTTTGATTTACTTGTGTAATGATTCCATGACTTGTTTATAATTAATTAGCTTCTTAAACTCAACATGGGATGATTGAGGTTGTAGATTGTGATTTTCATGAGAATCCATGTACTCTTGATGCACCAACTCAATGATTTCTTCATCTACGGTATGTTATCCATTCTTATTGTTGTGTAATTAGACTTCGTGAATATTGTTTCTTTTATATTAAGAATAACTTTTTTGAAATTTAGGGTTATACATAGTTAAGTTCAAAGAAGTAAAAGAAAGTATTGACAGACCGCTTGTTTATGTTGTAAGAGTATCTACTTTGTCCATTTCTAAATCATTTAAAAGAAAGTACTAAGAAAACAATACAAGTGTGTACATTAGGGCCCTAGTAGAAAAGCAAGCATTGAAGTGATCAAATAATGAAAATTTCTCATCACCTCTATCATGCTTCATCAGACCTGTGCTCTTATTATGTGAATTTGTTGGTTAATTTCTTTTGCAGCAAAAAGTTAATGTACTAATAATTGAGTGCCTTTGTTCTAAAGTGTTCTAATATATTGTGATGACTTTCAGGTAAATAAAATTCATCTTTTGCTTTGGCTTGCATGGGTTGAGCAGTCTCATTCTTGGATCGGAAAGTCTTTCTTTTAAGAAGTTAGGCAATTCAAAGAAGCTATAGTAGTATCACTGATGACACGTATTTGGTCAACATACACTATATGTAATGAAGTTCTAGTATTAGCGATTGATTTGTATCTAGTTAATATGCTCACCTTCTCATTCTTATCAAACAAGATGTAATGATATAGTGATAAATTTGTTCCAAAGTTATTTTAAATAAAAGAAGGTAAATCTTTAGGTTATACTACATATTTACTTTTATCGTTTGTTAGCATTAGAAAACCAGCTTAACCGTTTTTTTTAATTTGATGAAGGGTTTTAACGACGGTTCTCAATAAGAACTGACATAGTATAGTTTTCTTAAAGAATATTTCACGTCAGTTACGTCTAAAAACTGGCGTCAAAAATCATGTAGTAATTGTTACGTAGTATTAATTTAAAATCTCTGACGTCGGTTATACAACAAAACCGACGTTATAGAGTGTTTTTTACGACAGTTCGCAAACCGACGCTATATGTTCCTATCTATAAGGTCTCTTACTTAGACGACCCTTTCAAAACTGACGTAAATGTGTACAATAACCGACGTAATATATATATTCTGTAGTAGTGGTTCTTTTTTAGTTGCAACGGTCAACATTTCACATTTGTCAACGCACGCCTTTGACCGTAATTTTATCTTAATTCTATTAGTAAAAATGATTTTAAAAATCAGATTTTGAAAATTTGTAATGAGATGAATTGAACAATATTTTTTCAAAAAAAAATAATTTTCATAAAATAATAGCGTAAAATGTAGTCAAAGTAGATCATGTGAATAGTGTATAATTCAACATGTTGCGATTAAAACGGAACAGAGGATAGTATGTGTTTTATTGATACATACACTGCATAGGCCTCAATTAATTTACCTTTTTCCAAAACTGCATGCAATGGGTCTTCTTCACCTATACTAGCAGGGCCGTTGTACCATTCCTATTTTCTTTATTTTTCATGATAAATCTTGATTCTTCCTCCACGCATAAGCAGACCAAACCTCCCTCGATTACTATAGGATCGATCCAGGATTTAAAACCGAGGGAGGGAAATTGTTAGATTACAAAATGCAGCATATCTAGCTATGCTAGCAGGGCCGTTGTACCATTCCTATCACAAATTAAACTCGACTCTATGATCTTTTTGAAGATCAAAATTGTCAATGAGAGAATCTATGGAAATTAATCCTTGAGCTACCTCTTTCTATATACTCTCTCGGGTCCCAATAAACTTCACACTTTCTTTTTATGTTAGGTCCAAAATAAACTTCACACTTCTATTTGTGGTAATTTTTTAATATAAAATTACTCTTATACTCTTAGTTTATTACCTATTATATATATATTTTCTCTCTCTCCCACTACACTTTATCTACTTTTTGTAGGGGTGCGATGGCAAAGTCAAAAAGAAAAATTTCACTTTCTCAAAAAATCATAAAGTCAAACCATGAAATTTATTTAGGGCCGGATGGAGTATATGTCACCATGTAGCTTGAAAGAAAACTGCACTCCTTTTTGTTCCGAAGGCATGTCTTCATAATTTTCATGGCAAAAAATGATATATCACTCTATCATTAACTAATTGTAAATTGAGAATTCCATAATTGCAATATTGATAAATGATAACCCTAAATAAAAAACAAGCAAAGAATGAACTAATATATACAAATAAGAAAAAATCGATAGCTATAGTCGATAGAAGCTTAAAGAGTTAAAGCTAGAGCTGTTGAAGGAATTCAAGGGAAAAATATGTTACCTGCGCTAGTGCGATTGTGCATTTGTGCGAAGCCAGAAATGCCCAGAATCACTTCTCTCGGCCAGAGTGTAGTCAAGTAGAGAACAACTGGACATAGAAGGCCGGCAAGGACTCCCGTCAAGGATTTTCTCCAATCTTCCTCCAGTCCATCGCTCATGAGTCCATGACCGCTTTGCCTTTTCGCTAGTTCGCTTCAATCCCTAATTTCTCGACTGCTGGTATCTTTCGCAAACGGCAAATCGCAGGGGCAGGTTTGTTTAATTGGGAGGAGTCGACTAATTAGATATAGAACACATATATGTATAATACTAATTTTTGAAAAAAACGGGCCCTTAATTTTTCCAATTTTTTGGGGGCCCTGAGGCTTGGGCCTCTCCAGCCTTACATAAGGCACGAGCCTGGCACCAATTGCATTGCACTGAGTATATCTTGAGACTTACGTTGCAAAGCTTCTGATAAATCATCTGTCACAACAAGCACATCAATCATGAGATGTAAAATATATACAAACTCATAAGATGTTACCATATCATATACTCCACCAGCTTTACATCACTAGTAGAACTTAACATCCTTAGCAAACTACAAAGTGAAGTTAAGTGGGAACCCCATCAGGTATCTCCGGAGCATTAGAGCTAGAGTGTGACGTGCACTTTGTCACGATGCGTCAAAATAAATTCAATACTATCACTTATACGTAGTATAGTGAAGTAGAGTTTGTATCCACGGGGAAATGAATAATTCTCTTTTTATGAAACTAGTATATAAAAGGGGGGTTTTGGTGTTGAATGATTTAATTTAATTAAAAACTAAGATGAACAACCTATATGTGTTTTAATTCAAAGATAAAAGAACTTGGCATTGCTACTTTCCACTTGTTGATATATTTTAGTCAATCATTGTTATATCTATAACTTATTCCCTCTCGAATACCTAATCGAGGAGTATATCCAATTCATCGAGGGTAGTTATTAACAACGACCGTTCATTAATAACTCTTACTGTTAGTCAAGTATAGAACACCGCCATAGACCGACTTGATAGTAGCATTTAATCTTCTCAATTGTGAT